ATTTTAGTTAGACAGTGGATGTAATTGGGTGCCCTATGAAAAACATTTTGCCACAAAAAGTTTTCGAATCGGTTCATCACGAGCGGAGAAAACGGGTTTTTTGAAGCGGCGTGAAACGAATATGAGAGGAGGCGAACTCGAAGCACTTGCCGCTCTTCGCAAGCCAAATCTCTTCCCCACCCTCTCCAGCACCCGACCATGAGATGATGTGCGCATGAAGTGCCCAAACAAGTCCAACCCCCGAGAACGCGAGCAGCGTTGCTTTGTTGACCAGCGTTATTTTGTAGTCTTCTGCCTGTTTCTGCGGGATGGTTCGGAAACACTAGCTTAGACGTGGTAGGGTAGACGAGCACAATGAGTGCGCGAATGCGTAGGAGCGTTCCACAGCGGTCGTCTGCTCAATGCGCTGACCGCGGGGACACGAACGCATGCGAAACGCTGGCAATTAGCCTCGCATCTCGTAGCATTTCACGGGAAAAAAATAAAAGAAAAGCGTGCACAATTTTTTATTGCGTCTCATTATTTATTTCATGTTTTATTAATCTCTTAAAGCAACAAATACATAAACTAAGCATGTTGTGTTTAATTATTTTTGCCATGCCACGTGGTATACTGTTGACAACGTCAGAGCAGACTCGTCTACGTAGAGGACCAACGTCACTGCATTGCCGTGTACGTAGGGCCATTCCTACGCCTACGTCATGCCCTCATTCTCTACGCGTGCGCCAGCAGAGGGAAGGGGCAGCAGCTTTCATCTTGAAATTTGGCCCATTTCCGCGGCGCGTAGCGTTGCAAAGTTTGGCAGACGTGATCATGAACGCCTTGTCTACGCACTGCGCTTGTCAGCTCAAAATTGTCAAACCTAGTGAGTGGCCCTTTAAAGGACTTTGGATTACACTTTTCGAAGATGAACAACTTAGAAACAGGCTCAGACAAAAATTTATGTGCAGCAGAGCTCTATTCTTTTGATAGATAGAGAAATTACAAACAAGTAACTGCTTAACCGCTTGTGCCTTGCAGTGAAACGTTCCCCCCCCCCCCCTTTTTTTTTTGCCTGAAGCACATGTACAAAATAGTTTGTCTTTCCTACAAAACTGTGGTCCTCTCAAACACATTTTGCAGGTTCATCTATTTATGATCTTCTGGGGTTAGTGCCGCATTTCTAGCATAGGGTTCATTGAGAGAACATCTTTATCGTCAAGCTCAAGTAGCTTGTAAAGCAAGCTCCAATCGGTAGGAACGTTATTCAAAGCAGACGATTAATTCTAGCCTCTGCCCCACCAGCACATTTATTAACAAAGCAACAGCAGCAGTGAATCCTTTAGTCTTACTGAATCAGCTTGCCCAAAGTGCCTCCAGCCAAACAACATTTCAGGTGGTCACTGGTCACAAGACAACCAAACGTTTCTAGCTGCCCATGTAGGTTACATCAAATGACCAGTAAACATCATGACGTGAACTGAAATGCTCCTTTGATAACACATCCACAGTCATGGAGCAAGAACATTTGAGGAGGTGAAACTCCACTCGCTTGGACATCCGAATAACGACAAGGAATCGGGCACAGCAATGAGATGCCCCTCTGTCAAGAGAGTCCCCAAATGCAGAAGGTGCACCACACACTGTCCGATTAAGTTCAACAGTTCAGGGACATTTAGAACTGAGTCACTACTTTCATTTTACATGCAAGTGGGTCTATATCTTGGGCCTGCTTGCTGGCTTTCAATTCCGCAAATCAATGAGAGAAAAGGCATAACCATACAGGTAAATAACCCACATAAAATGTTTTCTAAAATGTGAGCACAGTAATTTTTTATAACATGAAATCTACACCTTACAAGTACCACATTTTCCACCAAATGATGGGACTTCTGCATGCCATTGGGTTAATATTATTGTTCTTATTACTGCTTACTTTTCATAATTTTGATGAATAGCCACTACTGGGAACCTCTAGTTTCTGCAATATTATCACTTCGGGTGTTTGACGATCAAAGGGATGCAACTAAGTTACAAAGTGCACTGAGGATGTATGGATGGATGAACTGATATGGCTGTACCCTTCAGATTGGGCGGCAGCTAACGCCACCTAGCCGTAATACTTAGTGAACCAAAAAATAGATGTATCGTTTTTTTTTCCTTTAAATAGTGAAGTTAAGGACTGGTACTTTGTAGTAAAGGGTTTAATTTTCACTCGTGCATTGATTTTAGCCACCAATCAAATAACCTCCTTCTAGTTAATTCTACCCGCTCAAAGTCTATTTTACCCTCCCTGAACTTAAACGCCAGTGCTTTGAAAAACTCTTTACCATCATCCTGAACTATATGGTGAGGCCCTTTACAGAACATTAGCAAGTGTTCGGCAGTTTAGTCCTCCTTTCCACACGCACTGCATACCGTGTCTATCCCTTCGTACTTGGTCCGATATGTCTTGGTTTGCAATACTCCCGTCCTGGCCTCAAACAGTAGAGAACTACCCGGAGTATTACCACAGATCCTTTCCTTGCCAATTTCCTGCTTAAAAGTTCGATAGACCTCTAGTGCAGTCTTTTTAATCATGCCATTCTCTACATGTCGGTCTCCGTTGCCTTCACTTTCTTCTTAATCGATAGTTCTTTTTGGTTTGGCCACCTGCTCTTTTCTAAGTATTTACCCGTCAATTTTCTGGTTCACTTCATCCATTTTGTATCAACAATCCTCATGTACAAGTAGCTGAAAACCTTCTTAGCCCAATGCTCCTCCCCCATTTCTCTCAATCGCTTCTCAAATTTTACCTTGCTGCTAGCTTCCCTAACCTCGAATGATGTCCATCCTATGTCACCTCGTACTCCCTTATTTGGTGTATTCCTGTGCGCTCATAAAGCAAGCCTACCTATTCCTCATTGCTTAATTTCTAGTCTTGCTTGCACTTTGCACTTTGGCTATTTCTGCCATCTGTGGGCCAATTTTCAAGCTCACCGTAATAACATTATCTCTCCATGTCACTCCAACATCAGCGGTTCTCACAAATGTAGTCAGGAGTCATGAGTTTTCGAGCCTTTTCTTGGTATTGCCCAATCCTATTCTTCAAAAATCATCATTTAACTTGGGAACATTAATGGCAATGACCTTACCCCTGCAAAATCCATAGTTACCTATGAGGTGCTGCTAGACACAATGGCACCCCATCATACTTAGTCACTGATGATAATCCTGGAAAGCACTCGCCTTTGTCGAGGTGTGAAAAGTATACACAGACGGAGAGCGAGAAGGCAGCGAGTTACCAGAGTAATGCAAAGGCCCGAGAGAGCAGTAAAGGAAGACAGCCTGCAGATCGGGACAGCTTCCCCTTCAAAGGCCACCTATGCACGCATATGTACAACGAGCAAGCGAGGGACTTGTGGATGCAGCAGACTTTGTCTGCTCAAGAATTACTACTATAATAGCTCATTTCAAACCCTGTACAACCTATATTTAGGCCAGTATCTATTCACAACTGCAGCTAAAATGTCTGACACCTTTAATTATTCACATTACAGACGGCAATTGGAGAAAGTTTACAACAGACAAGATGGTATCGCAATCATTACGCATCCTGCCCATAGTAAAACATCTAATGTCAATACACCGTCACCTGCCATGCAGTGGCAAAAATCACATTCCCTTCTGGACACTGTCAGGTTAGCATCCCATTCTGTGGTGGCCTAGCAGATTCTCCTCAAATACCTTTTTTTTTTTTCAGTGTCCATGGCAGCAAATATGTGATTGATACGTGGGGTTTAACGTCCCGAAACCACCACATGATTATGAGAGACACTATAGTGGAGGGCTCCGGAAATTTTGACCACCTGGAGGTCCTTAACATGCACCCAAATCTGAGCACATGGGCCCACAAAATGTTTGCCTCTATCAAAATGCAGCCGCCGCAGCCAGGATTTGATCCCGCGACATGCGGGTCAGCAGTTGAGTATCTTAGCCACTAGACCACAGCGGCAGAGCGGTAACGGATATGTGGCAACTTTACTTATGCAACATGAGAGGAACAATGCAAGTGATTCAAAAACAAACACGAACACAATAACTGCAATAATTATGATATCAATAATAAATTTCATTATGAAGGTTTTATAAGTTATCTCCACAAGTTTACAAAAATGTTCATCATTCCTCAACTCAGTTGTGATCTTTTTTTAGCAGTCTGAGATGCAGTAGATTTTAGTACAATAGAATATAGATTTTTTCAATTTCCATCATTTGCTCACAACTTATACTTTCCATAGCGCTCACAATCAGCATCTACAAAATAGAAATCAAGCAAAGGATATTGCACAATGAAGCTCCTCATGTGGCAAATATGTAGTAGCGCACGGAATGGCAGACCTTAACGCATGTCAAACTCTAATGCTTGATTGACTGACAACCTGTACGTTCGGTGGAACAGGCGAATAACGCATAAAGCTGGTGCTTAGGCCAAGTCCTTCACAACACAATAAGGTCTCCTCTTCGTGAAACCATTCATTATCATCACAGATGAAATGTTAATGCTGTGTTATGCACTAAACCTGTTCAGCTGTATTCATTCGGAATTATAATGATACCTTTAGGCAGGTCGTGGGATCGAATCCCGGCCGTGGCGGCTGCATTTCCAATGGAGGCGGAAATGTTGTAGGCCCGTGTGCTCAGTTTTGGATGCACGTTAAAGAACCCCAGGTGGTCGAAATTTTTGGAGTCTTCCACTACGGCATCTCTCACAATCATATGGCGATTTTGGGATGTTAAACCCCACATATCCAATCAATGATACCTTTAGTTACAACCAGCAAATGATAAAGGCATCAATGGCTCAAGACACACTGTTTTCTAATTTGGTCTACAGGGCGCAAGCAACCACGTTATAGTAGGAAAGTGAAAGAGAAGTGGAAAATGCACTACAGCAGCGTGCAATGCTCTTGCCTGAGGGTAGAGTCAGGAAAAATAAACACATGCAGCTGATACTAAGTTCAGGGACAGCAATGACTAACCTTCACATGTACTTCGCAAACTCTCTTTCAGATGATGCAGTCGTCTGAAAAAGAGAGAGTTATTTTTAATGGAGAGCTGGAGAAGTTTGCCTGGCTTTCAGGGTTGCCACTGGTGGCTACTTTTCACCAAATTGGCAAACTTGAGAGGCCCGTGGTAACCTGAAATTATGAATGGCGACATGGCGAACTTTTGGCGATTATCAGCTTAGGTGTCAACCGAGTTATGCATTGTATACTCAGTGTCTTCAAAAGGATGGGTGACAACATTTTTCTATTTTAGATAGTTTTAGACCCTCCTGTAGAAGGCACAACTTAGTACGTTTGTCCTGTTTATTGTGTGTATCTCCTGCTTCACCTAGATACTGGAGGAACTGGGGCGTCTGTCAACAAACTCCCAGCAAAATTTACATCAGTAGACTGCTTCGCGAGGTGGTGGTGTTATAATGCGTTTTTTCAAGGCTTTAAGGGCTTTAAGGGCTTTAAGTTTGTTGAAAGTTTCGCTTCTGAAGTGACTAAGTGAGGGTGCATGTTCCGAACACAGCTCCAACTGTCCTGAACAGCTTGTCGACTACTTCACTGCTGTAGTATCACCTAATTTGGTGTGTAGAGTTTAAATTTGATATTAACGTACTATATGGGTGGGCCAAAAAGTCGGGTTTCTTTGGACACCCTTCTAAAACTGCGGTGAGGCGAATTGTAGTGCAAGCATGACCACGCAAAAAGCACAATGCAGGCATTGCAAGAGTTACGCAATACTTTCAAGTTTATTTTCGTTGCTTTGTAATCAAGTTTTTCGATTATTGGACTCATAATTCCACAGCAGCAAAATTCTCTAAATCAGCAGGAGGGCTATGCGCGGTGTCCCTCTCTTGCTGTCGCGACTGCTTCATCCTGTATTCGCAACAACTGGAACGATCATAAACTTCTCTTCTGAGGCAATAGCACTCAGGGGCACTGCTAGTGCATATATGCCCTTTCTGAGTTTTCCCATGGTGAAGTGGGCGATGTGACTGGCAGTGAAAAGCATCAGTATGATTTAGGGTTTTTGGGCTATATATAAATAGGAATTTCGATTATTAGGCATGCCATACATATGTAGAGTGGCAACTTTTTTGGCGAAATTTGAAGAAAAATGGCATTTTTTGGCAACATTTTGCTTATCGTGTGGCGAATTTTTCTCAAAAATCAGTGGCAACCCTGCTAGCTTTTCACCTGACATGCTATTCCAGGTAACAGACAAAATGCTTGTAATACAGGTGAGGCTGTTTTTTGTTTGTTTTTATTATTTAAAATCACGAGTTACAGTTGTATCATTGCACAACTGTATACATAGTGTTCATGTGATGTTACTTCCACCGTTGTCGCCCTCTCCCGCCATGCCCGGGTACCTCCCTGTGTACCTACGGCAGTTCGCGTGCTGCAGCGTGGTTTGTTGGGGGCTCGTCATCTGTTGCTGTGTACGATGTTGAAAGGGAAGCATTGTGGTCTTTTGTTGTCGTACTTTAACAAGCTCATTGGATCGGGAAGGCCTCGTTTGTTTACTCAATACAAGAGCAGAAAATCAAGATGTGCGACACGTATACCACGCAGCCACCGCGTACACCGGCTGCCCGCCACGACCTATGAGGGCCCATTATCTCGCTTTCACTACCAATGCCACAAATTGCGCGGCCCAAGAACAAGTGAAAGGCCAAAGTCTCTCGAGTCGCAATTTTAAGAGTGGATGAGCGAAGCGCAGCAGCTCCCATCGAAAACGAGTCATGCAGAGCTAGGCAAGTTTACAAGAGATATAATATTAATATATTGCTGCAGCCCACACCACCAAATAGCAGTGTCCCCCCCCCCCCTCCCCCCAAGTGTTTTAAACAGTGCTGATATTGAGACTCGTTGATTGAAATTTGTGGAAACAGTCGAGGAAAATATTACGTAAGGCAGATAGACACTTCGCGTGATGCGTGCCGCAGTAATGCCGACCATCACTTTTTTTTTTCGCGTGTGTTTTGACGCCTTTTTTACCTTGTATTTTACTTTTTTTGTATGCTGATGTACAGTAGAGTCCCTGAAAATGATGGAGACCGTGTTGGGGAATTACTTGACTAATTTTTCAAAATCCTGACCCCCCAACTCGGACCGATCAGCTATACTTCAAAGTGAACTAATATTGTTTTGCTTCCATTTTCACAGTTTGTTTCAATGCAATACCTGAATTCCCGCGATCGCCATCACGATTTTAACCGCCTCCCTGACACGCTGATTGTGCCAGCAGTGGTCGCGGACAAGTTTGTAAGTACAGTATCTCGGTAAGCTATCTCTGTTTGCAGGTAAGTGCTTGGCTTTGGCACTTACCTGGTATGAAGTCACACCTGAAGACGCAAATATCACGGAGTTTCTTCAAGTAGTTTTTTGTAAATCCTTGCCTGCCAAACACGCCGATAACTTTTCGGAAAATTGCAATGTGCGTTCTCAATTTTAGGTAATAACTTTCGGCGAAGAAACACCCTGAAGCTCTGCTCCCTCTTCGGGGACTACTAAATCAACTTGCCTCACTAGCAGCCCTCAAACTTGCATCGTGAGGCAAAACTAAACGGGCGCAAGCACGAGGAGACAGCACGGCAGCGGTAGGCGACAGAGTCTGTAGGTACCCGGGCATGTCGGTGGCGCATTTCGGAAGTGACGAAGGGGCGCTGCGTGACGCACGTGCACACTATGTATACTTGAACAAACATTATTTGTATAAGCTATCAAATAACTTGCTTCTGTCAATATTGCAACGCTCTAAATAGTTACTTGTCTTTTCACTACCATTTCACAACGTAGCAAATAATAAATGTGCAGTGATGTGCCAAGTGGGAATGTGTAATTCTGATCTGTGGGGAGCATTTACTGAATTACCACGACAAGGTGCATGTTCGAAGCCCGAATGCTCACTTTGAATAAACGACATTATACAGGATAATTAAGCACTCAAGCGTACACGTGTGACCTCAGCGCATCAAATAAGCAGCAGTCAAGAAGTGAAGAGTGAGAAGATGGAACTTACAAAAGAGCGTTACTGTACCTAAGCGCTTTCCTCTGCAAGCTCATAAAACTAGTATTTCCTTCGTCCAGGCTTGCTGTGCTGTTCTGAAGTGCTTCGAGTGCTTTTTCCACAAGCTCCAGAAACTCTTCTCGATCGCTCTGTGGAGTGTGCAGTGCAAAAGTTTCAGCCCAAGAAGTGGTCAACAACTCAACGGACACAACTGGCTCAAGTCATACAAGCTCGAAATCATTAATAATAAAACACTTCTATTGTTCAAACTCCAAATCATGTAATGCCTCAATTAAACAAAGCGGTGCGCACTGTTTGAAAGAACATCAATAGAACAGAAAAAAAGAAAACGCGTTTCTATTGCAGAGAGTCAAATATTATGATAGTTAAAAAAAAAGTACCTCTTCTCGGAGGATGTAGGTGACCGGAACAAATCCAGCGATTCCTTTCTCGCTCACAGCATAGTACCAGTTTGGATCCTTGCATAGTTGCTCAATAACAATAAACTTTTCGTCTTGTTTAAAGCTCAACAGCCTCTTGTCTTTGCTGTCGAAGTCGTACAAAGATTTCGCCTGATAGGCAGACGCCATTGCATATGTGTGATGACAGGGTTGAGCACTGAGCCGGCGGTGGTTCGCCCACTTTAGACAAACGTACAGGGCGCCACGAAAATTTGAACAAATGTCTTATAAAACATTATTGATCTAAAAAGCATGCCTGAGTTTGAAATAATGAAGTGTACTTTTTATTCCTTTGAATATTAACTGTAGATAGTCATAAAGTTTGGTCTGGGTAGGTGTTTTGTGGTATGGTGCTCTGGCCACGCTAGACGCGTTGGCCATTTTTTTATTGGGGACACGGAGAAACTTTCTCCGTGATTGGGGACGACCACAGACCTTTCTTTCCTCCGTGGGGGACGACATATGTTGGAGATCAGCATGGAGGAAGGAAAGGGAATCAGGTTATTCCTTCCTCTATGTTGGGGATTGTTGCACTGTCGCAGAACCGTCTCCTAGCGTCTCCAGCGGCTGCATAACATGAGGTTAAGCAGCTGAGCCGCAGTTACAGTGTACTTGAAGGGGGCAATGAAGTAAACGAGGCGGCCGCGCCGTATCTCGGCTGATTCTCGGGCGGGTGACAGTAGCGGCGGCGCTGTAATCGCATGGCACTGAAGATCTCAACAGCGTATGCATTGGGAGAACGTGCGCCGTAGCCTGCGAAAGCGCGCATTTGCTCGTTTTTAGAGCGTTTAATGAGTTCCTGAGCCTTCATCAGAGTATGCACACCTGATAAGCGCCATAATGCACGAGTCAATAAGTAGGCACGCCGAAATTCCTTCGAGACATTCACTGTTTCATGAGCCTGCCAACAACAACAACAACAAAAAAAGTACAAACGGCATTTGCACGAATCCGCCTAGCTTCTCACTCAAGCAGCGCGTTATGCTGCGCTACATCTTAAAGGGCTACTGGCGAACTACAAAGAGATAAGTATCAAAAGTGCGATTAAATCATTCGGCTGTTTTATCGGCAGTTTCTATATCTAGAGTACTGTTCTCCACATGCGCTCGATTGTTTCATGAAAAACCCGGGTATAAGTAACGTTGTCCCAACATTTATATCGGTGACGACTCAGTTATATCATGCCAGTTTTGCCGAAGATAATAATTAATGCTCTCTGAAATGCTTTCTTGTTCTAACCGCATGCTTTCGCGCTCACTTTGCTTCGTTTATGCAAGCAAGCTCCAGGAGGCCGAGCGAGGGAGCCGAGCTGACGGAGTGCCTGTACCTCCTAGTCAAGAACTGTATGCAAAAGGGGTTATCGTAAATATATTAAAAAGTACCAGTGGTATATTTATTGCCCGTTTGTTTATTTGTGTAAGTTTACTGAAACCAGTTCTCATTTTGTATCGACAGCTTAAATTGCGCTGCTTTCTAAATATTCTTTTGGCGTAACGCCATTGCAAGCCAGCAAATTTGTGATGATGTTTACTATTATAGGTGTTGTTCTTATTAAGTGTCAAAAGCGTAGGCAGGCAGCGGTGCAGTTTGTTTTGAAAAATTTAGCTTGTATATGTACGCAGTAAACACACACACACACACACACACACACACACACACACACACACACACACACACACACACACACACACACACACACACACACACACACACACACACACACACACACAAAGGGCGCGAGAAAGGAATTGAGAAGAGGAGCAGGATGCCTAGGCTACCTGCTGGTGACTATAAGGTGTTCATTACGCCCAGAGGAGGACTATATGCGTGGCTCATCTCGGCCCGACGGAAAACAACAGGTGCATCTACAAAGCAGCTGGCATACCATTCGAGGATAGAGAGTACGAAATCTTTGCTTCTCTTCTCGATTCGGCCGAGCTCTTGGGTTTCGGTTTTCGTCTTGCCCGTATTCCCAGCATCAGCATTGGTGCCATCGCGTTCGCCATCGACGCCGCGTTCCTTGTTTTTGTCTTCGCTGCGACGGCGTCGCCTTTTGACAGTGTGCCATCCCTTTTATCTGCGGACAGAAACTGCAAAGTCAAGTATAAGTAGCCCTTCATCGTCCCAACAAGATTCAGAACATCTTGGTGGTGAGCACTCCTGATCCGAATAGGGCTGACCAGTACAGACGAATCAAGCAGATCAATGGCAGACGCAAGGTGCGCGAAGGGGCGGCGTACGAGACAGCACCCGAGGATACATCCAAGGGAGTCATCAGAGGGATTACTCTAGAGAAAACGCCAGAAAATATTATACCGGCTCTTGTTACGGCTAAAAACCCCATAGTCATCACTGCAAAAAGGCTGGGAAACACCACGAATGTCATAGTGCTCTTCAGCGGCAACTGGGTCCCGACTACCATGTGCTACGCCGGGGTCATCACACGCTGTGAGCTCTATCGGAAACAAATGGACTTTTGCAGACAGTGTAACAGGATCAGCCACAAGGGTGATGTCTGCCCCAACCCGACGGATAGACTCTACCCTGGGTGCGGTGCCTTCAATCCACACAGAGACCACACGTGCAAACCCAAATGCCGGATGTGCGGGAAGGATCATGCGACCGCGGACAGAAGCTGCAAAGTCAAGTATAAGAAGCCCTTCATCGTCAAGCAAAGACAGTGGGCCAAAACACACACACACACAAAAAACCCTAGAGACAAGTGACTTCTCCAGCAAAGGAAAAATCCTGCTCGATGTCGAGATCGAGGGGATGATGAGGGACGGGGTCCACTTCTACAGGCTCCACCCCTGTCTGGTCGTGGCCCAGGTCCGGATCAAAGTCAAGGGATTCGCCATACACGGTGAGCTGGGCGGATAAAGTACGCGGTCCGTAACCGGCTGAGACTGGGGAGTCAAACACACCAATGATGAACTCGAGAAGCTCAAAGCAGAAAATACCCAAATGAGAGAAATGATCGCACAGTTAAAATGCCAAAATTGAACAGTTTCGTGAGAGGGTACAACCAGGAAATTCGAAAAATCCACTCCTGCCATGGTAGCGAATAGCGAAATTCCAATAGGTGAGGATCGCATAGAGGTAACAACCCCCCCCCCGCTCAAACGATTGATTGATTGATTGATATGTGGGGTTTAACGTCCCAAAAGCACCTTATGATTATGAGAGACGCCGTAGTGGAGGGCTCCGGAAATTTCGACCACCTGGGGTTCTTTAACGTCCACCCATCCCCCCGCTCAAACGAAAGGCCAAACGTCGAAAGATAATAGCATCGCAAGTCCCCAGTCGAATCTCGCTGAACAGGAAAGATTAGATAATATTGAGAAGGTAGATCAAATACTAGCCACGATACAATCGTTAGTTGAGGCCACGACCAAAGCGTAAATTGATATTGCAGCACTCACCACCAGAGTCGAAACCGTAGAGCGATACACTGATAGTGCAATAACAACACGTACTCTACATGTAGGAGTCAATGTGCAACCACAGCAACAGCACTCCTCGTATAATCCAAACGCGGCGACACCGATAGCTATTATTACTTTTACCCCTCCGTCACACGCGACTTAAGGCATGGGCAGACGAGGTAAGGGACAGTTCAAAATCTGGCAATAGAATTGTAGAGAATACGGGATTAAGAACATACGTTCTCGAACACTATATTAAGCAGGGCAATAAACCGGACGTTCTTTTGCTCCAGGAAACGCATGGGCTTGCCAAGCCGGTGGGTTACCAATCCACAAGCACCGGACGGGGTGACAATGATAGAATTCTCAAGACATTAGTTAGCAGAGAACTAACGGTCGAAACCCATGACCTCGGTGTAGAACATGATTACATAATGACAGAAGTAATTCCTCGAAATTCTAGGGTGACAAGTATTTTTATATTAAACGTATATAGCAATCCGTCAAATCGGCGACAATAATTCAATAATCTCTTCAGGAAAGCGGTTGTGGTAGCGGGAGACGCTCCGCTTTTAGTGGGCGGAGACTTCAACGCTTCACACGAAGCTTGGGGCTATGGCTTGACCTCCCCTGAGGGTAAATATCTATGGCAAAGCATACAAAACGAGAACGTTAATCACTGAGCTCAGTGCAAACACGCAAATAGGTACGCGTGCCCAAAGGGACACGATGCCGGATCTCACCATGACTAAAAACGCCTGAGGTGGGACGTGGCATAACACTTTCGACGATCTGGGTAGTGATCATAGAATTCTTGTGACGACCATACCACGCGAGAATGACGCAACTCGGTCATCCAATCGAACGAAACGGCTTGTTGACTGGGACAAATTCAGAGCGATAAGACGACAGTCGTTTTCCTCGCCAACATCGGACATAAAGAGCTGTTGCGAAAGTGTAATAAGGAGCATTGTTGCCGGCCTCTAGTCATCACCCAACCTATTCTTACACTGTGCTTGAATCCGTGTCAACTCTGTAAGGCACGCGGAAATCTCTTCGCATTTCGCTAGCATCGTTGGGTTTTCGCCTTTCTAAGGGCCGCATATTCCTTCTTTACTTTCATTTGTAATGTTCTTCGGTGGCTTCCTTGAAGTAGTGTTGAAACGCGTTTATGCAAACATGGTGTATGATCCATGCTTTTTAGCTGCAGACGCTTGTCGGTTTGCGCGCAAGGCGCGTTTCATGGCAACGCCGACATCCACCACATGTGGCACTTTTCGTATGCGGAAAACGCGGCGTGCGTTTTCAACTTTAAGTGCTGGAGTGCAATTTCCGCGTTCTTTGACTAACAAATTTAGGTTTTCTATGCATTGTCAGTTGCTTCAAGAAGGCGTTTTTTTCTCTGATCGTCCTCCCGCCGATAAATATCCACAGCCGTCAGAAATCTGATAAAGGCCACCGTCACGCGTGGTTGTTTTCTCGCCGCCACTCAAGCTCAACTATATATGTAGATGTCCTCTCGCCCGGCATTGCAGCTCGCTACGATGACTAGGGCTGCCTATGTCATCGCTGCGAAACGCATGCATGTCCCTGTAGATGTGGCGTGGGACCGCGCAGTGGTCAAAGGATCTGAGGGGGTCCAAACACACTTGACAATAAAGTATTTCAGTCTGGTTTTCAAGATTTTCAAGACCCTAGATTGGAAAGAGT